GTCGAAAATATCATGAAGCCATTTCTGACCTTAGGTCACTGGTTGGACCCTGGAAGGAAGGTGTATACAACAGAAATCAAAGGAAATAATAATAATAATAATAATAATATATTTTTGTTTAGAAGAAAATAGAAAATCGTTAGGAAAAGTTTTGTCACTGAAGAAATGACGCTCATTTTTCTTCCCGTTTTCAAAGGAACCACAACATCCTTCCGTTTCCAACAGGGTCAGCTGTCTATACGGTGCTGTTCTTTGGAATTACCATTTCGATTTACAGACCAAAGACTTTAGGCTTTTCAACACCGCACTCATCTTTCTTCAGTTCCAACCAATATTTCGACATTTCCTGTTCAGCAGCTGTTATTATTTTTTATTGTTTTTCTGAAATTAGCTTCTGTTACCGTCACACCCTATTACCTACAAACACCGTCACACGAAGAGACAAATTACGAAGGGGATGTCTCGCCCCACCCCAACTAGGTAAAATCTGACCAAATGTTCAGACATCAGATTATTGTCAGCAGTCAGTTCTCGGTTGGAACGTGAATTGTCAACACTTCCACGTGAAATTTTGTTAATAAGCTAGGTGTAACAGCAAAACTGTCTAAATCGTTTAACAGCAAAAGTGTCCAATTGTTAGATTAAGATTTGAACCGTTGATCTTAGAAATGATTAAAGTTATCTTACTGGAATTCGCCGAAGATTTTTATAACATTATTGGACTCTACTTTGAGCAATAAGAATGTATATTTACTCTCCAAGCTTAACAGAAGTATCGTGATAAAATCGACCATAAACGAAAATGACATGTTCATTATTAATTAATCATAGCTAAGGACCGGAAGCTCAAGAAAGGTTGAAATAATTTTCATATATATATATATATATATATATATATATATATATATATATATGAAATAAATTTTATATATATATATATATATATATATATATATATATATATATATATATATTATATCAGGATCATTTTCCAAATTATTCAAGATGATTTTCGCCCTCTCTAACCTCCTAACTTTCTGTCCTGGAGTAACAATGTGCCTCACAGAGTTCACGCATGACTTGATTTTCAAGTCTTTTTTCACTGTTCTTTAGATTGTCAAAGCTAAAACTCATTTCTCATGTGCCAAACGTCTTATGGATTGAATTGGATCATTTTAGCTCTAAGTTGAAAAGATGATCCCTCTTGCTGTTGTGGTCTCTTGATCCAGTTTTGCTTTCTGCAGTTCCCTATATTTTAAAATTATTCACTGTTCTCTTCATGTTTCTTGAATGGACTATGAATATGGAAACCAGAGTGTGAATGTTGGCACAATTACTGAAGGTTTGAATGATGTTTTAACTCTCACCATTGCTCATTAAACAGTTTACAGGGAAAGAAAGTGAATGAAAAGATTTTTGTATGTTCCTTTATTGTCCTAGGAAAAGTTGGCATAAAAGATTTTTCCTCAGTATCTGTCTATATTTCTGCGATGAGGTATTATGTACACTATTTACATTATTCGGACGATAGTCCTCACCTTTGTCACCATATTTATTACAACCTTTCGGCCTTTCAGTATCTGTCTATATTTCTGAGATGAGGTATTATGTACACTATTTATATTATTCGGACAATTGTCCTCATCTCTGTGGCCATATTTATCACAACGTTTCGGCCGTTGTACGCTCCGGCCTTTTTCAGGTAGTTGGAATGTCGAACTGAACCCTTTATTTTGCTCGCTGGGGTAGACTGTTCTAGTTCCACGTGCCATGTGTAATGGATGTCTGTTATCAATTATCTCCTGTTAATTCCCCTTTCCAAGTTCTCCATTGCCTTGATCAGGGTATTGAACTCACAACTTTTTGGTCCTGTTACTGGATCTAATCAACGCCTTTATCCACTGTGCCATGTGTCCTTAAATTCACATGGCGCAGTAAAAGTGTAGATATTTCCGCATTCCTTTAAATAATAATATTAATAACAACAACAATAATATATATATATATATATATATATATATATATATTGTCATGTTGAATTGATAATGTTAATTATATTTTATGAATATGTCCTGAAGATGGTTTATTAGACCGAAACGTCTGACGTTGACATATTAACATTAATACAGCATAATTGCATATAAAGATTTTGTTTGTTTTTTCTGTATATTTTTTCTTCATACTGTCGGATCTATATCCATATATTTGCTTATATATATATATATATATATATATATATATATATATATATATATATATATATATATATATATATAAAATAAAGAGAGAGTATTAAATTGTAAGAGTGTTAGGTGTCAGCATTGCTGGTTCTTTTTTTCAGTAGCTTACTGGTGGAAAGGGATTTAAGCAGAGAGGTTTTTGTCTTAAAATGCTCGATATCAAAATGTATGGATAGAGCATTAATAGAATGAATGTGGAGAAGCTTGTCACTTAACTGAGTGTATTTATTTCAGTCATGCCGACTTCGAAGTTTCGTGAGCACATTGTTGTAATGCCTTCAATGTCAAAACCAATTGGCAACAGACTCTTTTATGCTTGAACCCAATCTTCTGGCCGCCTGGTGTTCGTGTCCTCTTTTATATTTACACCTCACACACACACATATATATGTGTGTGTGTGTGTGTGTGTGTGTGTGAGTATATATGTATGTGTATAATTGTATATGTGTGTGAGTGTTTTTTCTATATATATATTGTATACTTATATTAGATAATTATTGGAAAGTGCTCAATATAAGTGATAGAGCTAAATCATTTAGTTGCATGTATATGAGTTTGTGACCCTGTGTTTCACGCTTTTGCTATCATGGTTTGTCTGATGATATATATATATATATATATATATATATATATATATATATATATATATATATATATTTTTGTGTGTGTGTGTGTGTGTATGTGTGTCTGTGTGTGTGTGTGTTTTGTATAAATGAAAATCAGAAGGTCAGTTGAATCCGTTACCTTGGTTACAACCTCATGGTATCCTCAAACGTTTTTTATCATATATATATATATATATATATATATATATATATATATATATATATATGTGTGTGTTTTTTGTGTTTCTGTGTAAATATTGATGTAAATAAAGTGAGGACATGGAAATCAACGCTGTAGTATAGTGACTAGCGGTTTCGCGTCTTGAACGATCGTCAGACCATGACTTCTAATGATGGCATAAGAAATGGAAATGCCAATTGCCATGCAGTGTTGATACCTATGTCAAAACTGTTTATATCGAAAGACACGCAGTCGCCGAAACAGAGCACACTTTGATCATAAACGGAGCAATTTTTAATCAATATAAATGTATATGTCTAAAAAAATGAATATGTTCACTAAAATATGTTTCTATTCCAATATCTATCTATCTATCTATCTATCTATCTATCTATCTATCTATCTATCTATCTATCCAGAACTCTTCATTATCTATCTATCTATCTATCTATCTATCTATCTATCTATCTATCTATCCAGAACTCTTCATTATCTATCTATCTATCTATCTATCTATCTATCTATTCATGTAATAATAAATATGAATATACATTCTTCTGATAGATGATTATACATCCATACGCCTATATATATAAATATATATGTGTGTGTGTGCGCGCGCGCGTGTCTGTGTGTGACATAGGTTTAGGGGCTTCCTGATTTTCTTGTTTTAAAAATACTTGACATTTAGACTTGTTTCTGTTACTCCTTCGACTTTTGCCCGCTAGACGGCGTTGCCCTTTTTACCGCCTTCTGCGGCGATTATCACTAATGACGTCGTGGAGAAAGAAACGGTGGGTACGTGCGAAGCGATTCCTTCATTTCTGGTTTCATTTCTGATCGTCTTTTGCAAAGATCAGGCAATGATGTCAAGAATATGAAACAGATGTATCTTTTTCACAAACTCCACACCTTCATTCAAAGTATGTCAGCTTATATCATACAAGAAATTATGTCCATCTTACACAAATCGATATTGTTGCTATTTTGCCATATTTATTTCAAATATCAGGTTCAGTCATAAGTAATTTCCGCATTTTGAGAATGTATTTTAATGAAAATTGACTTGTTTTTTTACGGCTTATCTACTTTTTACAGTATTTGCATTATTCGGACTATTGTCCTCATCTTTGTTACCATATTTATCACAAGGTTTCGGCAATTGTACGCTCCGGCCTTCTTAAGGTGGTTGGAATGTCGAATTGAACGCTTTATTTCGCTCACTGGGGTAGACTGTTCTAGTTCCACGTGCCATGTCTAATGGATTTCAGTTATCAGTTATCTTCTGTTAATTCCTCTTTCCAATTTCTCCACTGCCTTAACCAGGTATTGAACTCACAACTCTTTGGGTTCTGTCACTGGATCAAGCCTTAACGACACATGGCACAGTGGATAAAGGCGTTGGTTAGGGGCTTCCTGATTTTCATGTTTAGAAATACTTGACATTTACACTTGTTTCTGTTACTCCTTCGACTTTTCCCGCTAGAGGGCGTTGCCCTTTTTACCGCCTTCTGCAGGGATTATCATGGTGGCGTGGAAAAAGAAACGGTGGGATGTGCGAAGCGTTTCATTCTTCTAAATAAGATATTGAACACACGATACTTTGGGTCCTGTCACTGGATCTAACCTTAACGACGCATGGCACAGTGGATAAAGGTGTTTCCAATTCCGACCCGTTATTCATTACATCACCCACACGTCTAAGCCTACCTGGTATTTCTAAGCGGTCACCCATCTATTTACTGACCAGATTCAACGTTGCTTAACTTCGGTGATCCTACGAGAAAAGGTATTTCGACGGGACATGGCCGTAAGCCCATTATACCACGCACACATCCAAGCTTACAGCACCTGGTATTCTCAAGCGTTCACCTATCTAGGTACTGACAAGGCTCAACGTTGCTTAGCTTTCGTGATCGTACAAAAAAGGTATATAGCCGTAAGCCCATTATACCACCCGCGCATCCAAATTTACTGCATCTGGTATTTCCAAGCGGCCACTCATCTAATTTCTGACCAGGTTCAACGTAGCTTAACTTCGGTGATCGTACGAGAACCGGTATTTCAACGTGATATGGCCGTAAGCCTATAACGACCAATGTGTCATTCATACTACTAATCATATGTGATAGTTAAGAAAAAAATTTGGAGCACACTAACATAGCTTTATTTTTTTAACATTAGTGGCAGCGTACACAGTGGTTTAAACGGTAAATATCTTGACCCTCATAATGAAGCGATTGAAATTTTATTTACGACTGGAACTCGTACATAAAATCCATTGCTAAGGATGCAGGTAAAATAGTCGGCTCCCTGTACCACTCCAGTAAGTACCTGACCCCTCTTACTATCCTTTAACTTTACAAGAGACACATCAGGCCCCAAATAACGTACTCTTGCGATATTTGGGTGGGAGCTGCCCTGACCTCACTCTCCAGCTTTGATTGAGTCCAAGAACGTCTCCGAGCCCCTGTGGGTGAAGAATTATTCCCCACTCTCCAACCTCTCTCCTACAGACGGGATGTGGTAAGCCGCTTACCGACTTATCGCTACTTCCATGGCAAGTTCTCGGACGAACGACATTCCCTCGTTCCGCTAGTTCAAACCTTCACAGAAAGGATGCGCCATGCCACTCACATAGTAGCAAACCACTCACATTCCCTTCGTATTTCATCGGCGAAAAATAAGTTCCCATCCAACAACTCCTTCCCGACAATCACTGCTCTGTGAAAACGATTTCCCAGGGGATGTTCCCCCGATTACTACAAGCTAAGATCAAGACTAGGGTTAACCGCTGTCTTACTCTCCTATCCACACAAATAGCTTCCTAAGGTAACCCTCTACATCGAGTGGCTTCCGGCCTTTATAGAAGGTTAACATTTCTGTAAAAAAAAAGAAACAAACAAAAACACACTAAAAAGTTCCATAAGGTTATGGAAGTTCAATCAAAGTAATATCGTTTTGGAGAAAAGTCTTTGAAAGATGAATCAAGATCGGGCTGTTCTTCGGACTTCTAAAATCGTAAGGGAAAAACAATCTACGGTAAAATCCTCACAAATTAGCAAGAATGTTAAACACATCAAAATCTGCCATGTAGATTGGGATGTGTTTAACGAACGACGAAAAAAATAGAGAAAGGTTCGAGAAAAGATGACGACATGGAGAAAAGATGAGAGCATGACGAAAAGATGACGGCATGATGAAAAGATGACAACATGAAGAAAAGATGACATCATGGAGAAAAGATGACGGCACGACTAAAAGATGACGACATGACGAAAAGATGACAACACGGAGAAAAGATGACGGCACGACGAAAAGAAGACAACATGGAGAAAAGTTGACGGCAGGATGAAAAGATGACAACATGGAGAAAAGATGACAGCACGACGAAAAGAAGACAAAATGGAGAAAAGATGATGGCAGGATGAAAAGATGACAACATGGGGAAAAGATGACGGCACGACGAAAAGAAGACAACATGGAGAAAAGATGACGGCAGGATTAAAAGATGACAACATGGAGAAAAGATGACAGCATGATGAAAAGATGACGGCATGATGAAAAGATGACAACATGGAGAAAAGATGACAGCATGGAGAAAAGATGACGGCACGAGTAAAAGATGACGACATGACGAAAAGATGACAACATGGAGAAAAGATGACGGCGCAACGAAAAGAAGACAACATGGAGAAAAGTTGACGGCAGGATGAAAAGATGACAACATGGAGAAAAGATGACGACATGACGAAAAGTTGACAATATGGATAAAAGATGACGACATGACGAAAAGTTGACAACATGGAGAAAAGATGACGACATGACGAAATGATGACAACATGGAGAAAAGATGACAGCATGGAGAAAAGATGACGGCACGACTAAAAGATGACGACATGACGAAAAGATGACAACATGGAGAAAATATGACGGCACGACGAAAAGAAGACAACATGGAGAAAAGATGATGGCAGGATGAAAAGATGACAACATGGTGAAAAGATGACGGCACGACGAAAAGAAGACAACATGGAGAAAAGATGACGGCAGGATGAAAAGATGACGGCATGATGAAAAGATGACAACATGGAGAAAAGATGACAGGATGGAGAAAAGATGACGGCACGACTAAAAGATGACGACATGACGAAAAGATGACAACATGGAGAAAAGATGACGGCGCGACGAAAAGAAGACAACATGGAGAAAAGTTGACGGCGGGATGAAAAGATGACAACATGGATAAAAGATGACGACATGACGAAAAGATGACAACATGGAGAAAAGATGACGGCACGACGAAAAGAAGACAAAATGGAGAAAAGATGATGGCAGGATGAAAAGATGACAACATGGAGAAAAGATGACGGCACGACGAAAAGAAGACAACATGGAGAAAAGATGACGGCAGGATGAAAAGATGACAACATGGAGAAAAGATGACGGCACGACGAAAAGAAGACAACATGGAGAAAATATGACGGCAGGATGAAAAGATGACGGCATGATGAAAAGATGACAACATGGAGAAAAGATGACAGCATGGAGAAAAGATGACGGCACGACTAAAAGATGACGACATGACGAAAAGATGACAACATGGAGAAAAGATGACGGCGCGACGTAAAGAAGACAACATGGAGAAAAGTTGACGGCGGGATGAAAAGATGACAACATGGATAAAAGATGACGACATGACGAAAAGATGACAACATGGAGAAAAGATGACGGCACGACGAAAAGAAGACAACATGGAGAAAAGATGATGGCAGGTTGAAAAGATGACAACATGGAGAAAAGATGACGGCACGACGAAATGAAGACAACATGGAGAAAAGATGACGGCAGGATGAAAATATGACAACATGGAGAAAAGATGGCGACATGACGAAATTTGACGTAAAGGAGAAAAGATGACGGCAGGATGAAAAAATGACAACATGGAGAAAAGATGACGGCACGACTAAATGAAGACAAAATGGAGAAAAGATGATAGCATGATGAAAAGATGACGGCATGATGAAAAGATGACGGCAGGATGAAAAGTGACAGCATGGAGAAAAGATGACGGCACGACTAAAAGATGACGACATGACGAAAAGATGACAACATGGAGAAAATATGACAGCACGACGAAAAGAAGACAACATGGAGAAAAGATGATGGCAGGATGAAAAGATGACAACATGGAGAAAAGATGACGGCACGACGAAAAGAAGACAACATGGAGAAAAGATGACGGCAGGATGAAAAGATGACAACATGGAGAAAAGATGACAGCATGGAGAAAAGATAACGGCACGACTAAAAGATGACGACATGACGAAAAGATGACAACATGGAGAAAAAATGACGGCGCGACGAAAAGAAGACAACATGGAGAAAAGTTGACGGCGGGATGAAAAGATGGCAACATGGAGAAAAGATGACGGCACGACGAAAAGAAGACAACATGGAGAAAAGATGACGGCAGGATGAAAAAATGACAACATGGAGAAAAGATGACGGCACGATGAAATGAAGACAACATGGAGAAAAGATGACGGCAGGATGAAAAGATGACAACATGGAGAAAAGATGACGACATGACGAAATGTTGACAATATGGATAAAAGATGATGACATGACGAAAAGTTGACAACATGGAGAAAAGATGACGACATGACGAAATGATGACAACATGGAGAAAAGATGACGGCGGGATGAAAAGATAACAACATGGAGAAAAGATGACGACATGACGAAAAGTTGACAACATGGAGAAAAGATGACGACATGACGAAAAGATGACAACATGGAGAAAGGATGACGACATGACGAAAAGATGACAACATGAAGAAAAGATGACGGTAGGATGAAAAGATGGCGACACAGAGAAACGATCAAGAAATTTATGACAACACGAGGAAAAGATGTCGACACGTCGAAAACCTGACGGTACGGAAAAAGGATCAAGAAAAGATTGCAACACACAAAAAAATTCATTGATTCCTTGAAATTCATGAATCTTTTATTCCTTGTCTTTTAGTAACTTTTCATCTTTAACGTTATTTATATTTGTTTTTATGGCCTCCCAAAGATTCCCTTTTAAATTATTACTATTAAATGAATATCTAGAGCAGGGGTTTTCATCGTAGGAAATTTTTCTCGCCAGTGGGGGTGAATTTCATGGTTTTTGTGTGGGAGGGAAAAATCGTTTATATTTTTTTGTTTTTTATTTGCAGAATTTTTTTATTTTATCAAAAAATTCCCTGGCATTCTATTAAACTTTTGTTTATTGAAGTATGCTTCCGTTTATTTATATAATAATTAGATTTTTTTTAAAAATCGAGTTCACCTCATGCTAGGCAGTAAAGCCTCGAAGACATAAGAGGGGTGGGCGTGAAAGAACTAAACAAGCAGAAACATTATTAAGAAGTGAGAACAATAAAACAGGAAGAATTAGAAGGACAGTAGATAACGATTGACATTGCATTTAAATCTTTGAAAATCAAAGTCAGCTGGAAAGCATGGAGCTGGAAGTTAGTTCCACAAACAAGAAGTACGAGAAAAGAAACTGTTGCATTTAATTAACTCGACTATAAATTGATGCAATCTCGATGCTAATTTAGTACTGCACTGAAATTCATAGCGAAGAACTCATCCGAACAATTAGCATGAAAATAAAAATTAAAACAAATTACTCTACATGGATTTAAGTTAAAAAAATCTATCAATATTTTCTATTGCGATTAAATTTGTAAAACTCTAGAAAAATAATCCATGAAAAAGTAGGTGTACTAATATGGAAAAGAATGGAAATTTTTTAATATGTGAATATTATTTAAAATGCACCTTTTTAGTCTGACAATCTCAGAAAAGGGGGAGTGACATTTTGATTTATGGTGAAAAGGAGGCTTTGGGCAAAAGAAGATTGAGAACCATTGACTAACCTGAAGAAATAATCAATTTTATTATTTTATTTATTTAATAATTAGTTATGAATTAAAATAAATTACTGTACACGTATTCAAGTTTAAAAATCCATCAATATTTCTATTGTTATTAAATTTGTGAAACTCCTCTATCAAAATAATTCATGTACTATTATGGAACAGAATGAAGATTCTCAATATATTGCATATTATTTGGAATGGACATTTTGAGTTGGACAATCCTGAAAAAGGGGGAAATGACATTCCCCCTTATCAGTGAACAGGTACATTGGGCAAATAAGTTTGAAAACCAAGGAACTAAAGAAGTTGACGGCTATTCCATTAATTTGATGTTCTTCAAACCTCTTTTGTCAATGTAAGCATAATTCAGCTTTGCTATATGAAAAGACACTGTCTTGAACACTCTTTGGTTTGAAGACTTTCGAAAAATGACTTCTCCAAGAACTTATATTTCTTCTCCGAATTATTATTTTGACACCATCAACAGATTGGAAGGGACTTACATTTTCTGCTTGAACTACTAGCCAAATACGTGATAGCAAGATCGTTAACCCTGAAGAACAGTAGTTCACAATGGTAAGAAAGACTTTGAACATGAAACCCAAGAGAGAGATTCGTAAAGGTCTTGATGTTAATTTCACTGACAATGTTGCCACATGCTACATGTTATATTCACTTATGTAAATACACACTCTGGAAAGGTATATATATATATATATATATATATATATATATATATATATATATATATATATATATATTAAAGAATAATCACACATAGAATTAATCAGAAGTATTAATGCGATTATTGGCGACATCCATCGCTAGAAAACATAATATATGCATTAAAATCCTGTTCATCCATTGTGCGAGTTTTGATCCTTGTCGAAAAACTTGTTGTCTGTACTTTTTCAGTTTATTTATTTATTTATTAAGGGACACTGGATCATCAGATAACTCTTCCAAAAAATGAAACAAAAGTGTTATCTGATGATCCTTAAAAGGGCTCTTAAATTATTATAATGGAACCTTAAAGTGGTCTGTTTTTCTTTAAATTATTAGACACTAACTTTCACCCCAGTCTCAAAAGCAAATCCATCAGAGATGACCGCTGTCCCGGAAAAGAACCTACAATCAACGGTTAATTGGGTAGGAAATAGCTTGTAAATTTTTATGTTGTTCTCATTTAATCACCATAGAGAAACTTTCTTCCCGTCATCAGTATTGCTGATGCTTGACTTCTGGAGAGCATCACACTGCACCTTCTTCGTTTTACGTTTTCAACTGAGTTGAAGTGGCACATCTAGATTGAATATGGCTTTCGTTTCTTCAAGTCAACTGCCGATAATTGCGGGAAAAGTCTATCATGCTCTGAATAAAAACGGTAAATCCCGGACTGCGGCATTGGAAATCTCGAAAGCCTTTGACAGGGTCTGGCATTCAGGTCTTCTCCACAAACTGAAAAGTTACGTTGTCTCCGGACACTTTTTTGAACTGATCCAGCCTTTCGTGAAAAGAGAGTTATACTGAACGGCCACTCGTCTACACCCTTTCGTACTAACGTGGGTGTCCCCCAAGGCTCCATCCGTGGTCCTGATCTGATTTAATTTTCATTACTGACCTTCCTGGTGGAATCATCTCTCAAATTAGTATCTATGTTAATAACAGGACAATTTACTCTTGCCTCAGCAGTAAGGCTTATCAGTCCGACAAGGTCATAATATTAGCTTTTATCCAAATTAACTTTGAGTAAGTCGTTAACTGGGGCAAAAAAGATGGCTGGTTAATTTTAACGCCTTTAAAAACTAAACTTATCTCCATTAATCATCTAAGAGACCTCATGCTGCATTCCATCATCATGGCTGATGCTAACCACAAGGAAATTGACTCTTTGTGCCTTCTTGAGGTCACGTTCTCTACTGACATCATTAAATCTATTGCTAGGTCAGGTGCTAAGAAAGTCGGATCAATGTCTCGGGCGTGAGATTCTTTTTCTCCAAGTCTACCATCGCCCATGCTTAGAATATTGTTGCCATATATAGTCTGGTGGCCCTGCTATTTACTTTGAGCTCCCTGATAAGATTCAAAGAAGAATCAGTAATATTATTGGTCCTGATCTGGCATCTCGGCTTCAGTCGATTTCCAAATGCTGTAAGGTTGCCTCTCTGTGTCTTTTTTTTTATAAATCCTTTCATGGCAATTGTTCGGCTGATCTCTTCGCTTTGGTACGTAGAATTTGTTTTTTAAATTAAGTGCAGTACTAGGCTTGCGTCGAGATCTCATCAATTTACAGTCAGGCTTTTCTCGCACATCTACCTTGTGGAACTGCCATCCAGCTCCATGCTTTTCAGCCAACTTTAATCTGCCAAAAATTTAAATGCAATGTCAATCGCTATCTACTGTCCACCTGATTACTATCTCCCCTTTCTGCTCAACAGTAATATTTCTGTTCCTAATTTTTCCACACCTTGTAATCCCCTGTGTTTTAGTGGCATTACTGCCTTACATGGGATGATTCCAAGTAAAAAAATATTGTTATATATATATATATATATATATATATATATATATATATATATATATATATACGCATATGTATCTTATACGTGCTTCATTTTTCGTTTCACCTTTGGAAGTGAAGTCTGAAGATCCAGAGAAAAATAAAATTCTCTGGTGAAATAAATTATAACAATGGAGACTTAAAGTGGTCTGTTTTTCATTTAAATTAAATTATTCCCTCTGACTTAGCATTGAGCTCTCAGGATTTCATCCTCCTTTAAATTATCCATACGGATTACCAAGATTTTCGTAACTTATATATATATATACTTTTCAAGTGTGAATTGAGTTCTCCGGGACACTGGCGTTCTTCGTACAGAAAAAAACGTTAAAATTTACCTTTCTCTCTGCCGTGCGATGATAGCCTACTGGTACTTATCTGACTGATGCTAAATAGGTTGGGTTTCGATCCCTGTTTGAAGCAATCGAACGTCTAGCCACACTGAAG